CCCAGTCTATGCTGACAGGTTCAGCAAGTAGAGATGAACGGTCACTACCAGGGGCGGACTGACAACTCATGGGGCCCCTGGGCAATAGGGGATCATGGGGCCCCTGTGTCCTTTCCCAAACTCAAAACAGCCTATGAAAAAGGTACCAGGGGCATCTCATGGGGCCCCCTACTGACCCCAGGCCCTCGGGCAGTGCCCGAGTTTCCAAATGGTCAGTCCGCCCCTGACTGGAAGTGTACAGTGAACCTTCTGCATAGATCAGAGATCGAGATACACGGTCAGCCTGGCAGTAAACAAGGCTGTTTGCAGTGAAAGTTTTGTGATAAGATGAAAAGATTGATTTCAATTCAACACTTCATTCTGTGCATTTGTCTTCTTTCAGTAGAAAAGGGAGAAGGGAGCTGCTGAAGCCCCCAGTGAGCCCCTACCTCTATCCACTGCACTGGTCCTTGGAGAAAGAGTTCAACAGCCATCCATAGAGTTGTGGATTGGAGGCAGGCTGTTGACTTTGAGGGTGGTGCAAATAAAACTGGGGGGGGTGGTGCAGTCCCTAGTCTGGGCATGTGCAGGAGCATTGTTGTCACCCTAGGATGTATCCTGCTGCCTGCAGGTGTATGAGCAAAATGGGAGCATGGGATGTGAATGCCAATACAGGCTGGCCGTGAGGAACTGCACCAGTTGCATTGCCCTTCATGAACCTAGAGGACGTGCACAGAGTTATGATTTTCTCAACTCAAAAACATAAATTTGAAATGGTTTAAAGAAAAAAATATATTTTTATTGCATTGACATTTAATACACACCTTCCATCTCTTTTGTGGGGGTGTACTAGGACTGCATTTTCCACCAGAAGTCTATATTTGAATATGGAGCATGCCTGGGGCACTGGGCATGGTTGGGGTGTTAGTAAAGGGCAAGAAATAAAAATAACACAAGTATTTATTTTCTTTTTCCTTCTTTTGTTAGCCTGATCACTTTTTATTATGACAGTAAAGACAGTATGGCACTTCAGTCACACATACAGTACACATTCACACATTCACTTTTGTGGGGGCCAAGGATCTAAGAAAAACAAAAGGAGAAAGCGGAGCCGAGCAGCCTCTTAGCTTAGTATTACTTTATTCAGTGAAGCACAAATAAGAACAAAAAGTCTTGCACCCAAAAGTCCAGGAGAGGAACTGGCATATAACTTACCGGAGAGAGTCCCATAACCTGATTATCAAGCCACCCAACCACAGCTATTGGGGAACCAGCCACCTCCACTGGACAGGTTGACACTGGGGGCAAAGACTCAGTTTGGTGCCCCCCCCCCCCCTCCCTTCTCAGAGAAGTTTATTATTTTGTTTTATTAATTAATTTTTATAATTGTATTTTTTTTACAATATTAATATATTACATCAATGCCCCCCCTCCTTACATCAATGTCCCCTTTACATCAGTGTCCCCCTTACATCAATGCCCCTTTACATCAGAGTCCCCCATTACTTTAGAACCCTGCGAACATCAGCGCCGCTCCCTCCCCACCCTTACATTAGTGTCCCCTTACATTAGTTTACTCCATTACTATAGAAACCCCCTCAAATCAGAGTCCCTTCTATCATCAGAATCTACTTTTACATGAGAGCCCCGCCTTACATCAATGTACCCCCTATATCAATGCCCCACCTTACATTAGTATCCCCCTTTGCATCAGTGTCTTTCCTTTCATCAGTGTCCCCTCATACATCAATGCCCCATTTTCCATCAGTGTCCTACCTCACTTCTAAGTTCCCCCTTACATCATATTCCCCTCTTACATCAGCACCCTCCCTTTACATCAGAGTCCTTCCTTACATCAGTGTGCCCCCTTACGTCAGTGTTCCTCCTTGCTTCAGTTCCCCCCTTTATATCAATGTTCCTTCTTACATCAATTTTCCCCTTACAATACTGCTTTTCTTGCATCAGAGTCCCTCCTTACATTAGTTCCCCTCTTAGATCAGAGCCCCTCCTTACATCAGTGTCCCACTTTACTTCAGAGCCCCCTCACTTTACATCAGAGTCATTCTTTACACCAGTGTGCCCCCTTACTTCAGTGTCCCCTCTTGCTTCAGAGCCCCCCCTTACATAAGTTTGCAACTTTATATCAATGTCCTTTCTTACATCAGTGTCCTCACTACAATAGTGCCTTCATTGCTTCAGAGTCCCCCATTGCATTAGTGTCCACTTTTATGTCAAAGTTTCCCCTTACATCAGAGTCCCCTCTTACATCAGCGCCCTCCCTTTACATAAGAGTCCTTCCTTACATCAGTGTACCCCCTTACATCAGTGTTCTTCCTTACTTCAGATCCCCTTCTTACATAAGTTCCCCCCCTTTATAATAATGTCCCTCTTACATCAATTCCCTCTTACAATACTTCTTTCCTTGCATCAGCATCCCTCCTTACATTAGTGTCCCCTCTTACATCAGAGTCCCCCCTTACTTCAGAGACCCCTCACTTTACATAAGAGTCCTTCCTTACATCAGTGTTACCCCTTACTTCAGTGTCCCCTCTTACTTCAGAGCCCCCCTTACATCAATGTGCCCTGTTATATAAATGTCCTCTCTTACATCAGTGTGCCCACTACAACAGTGCCTTTCTTGCTTCAGAGTCCACCTTTACATTAGTGTCCCCTTTCTGGAGGACCCTCTGCACACTGGTATATACCCTTTCCAGCAGACTTTGCAATAAATAGGGATATTTGTCTTTTGTCTTTTCCCCTATATTGGCATTGTATCCACAGTAGCATTTTCGTAGACAGAGCAGAGTAGGACTGGCCATACAGGGATTACTTTGAAGCAGTTGGCCAGCTTAAGCATGTATTGCAATATGTGTGAACCAAATATCCATATTTATTGTAAAGTCTGCTGGAAAGGGTATATGCCAGTGTGCAGAGGGTCCTTCAGAATTCCCCCTTACATCAGTTCCCCCCTTTTTATCAGTGTCCACCTTACATTCACTATATTGTCAAACGTATTGGGCCAGCCCTCCAAATCATTGGATTCAGGTGTTCCGATCACCTCCATGGCCACAGGTGTATAAAATCAAGCACCTAGGCATGCAGACTGCTTCTACAAACATTTGTGAAAGAATGGGCCACTCTCAGGAGCTCAGTGAATTCAAGCGTGGTACCGTGATAGGTTGCCACCTGTGCAATAAGTCCATCCGTGAAATTTCCTTGCTACTAAATATTCCACAATGAACTGTTAGTGGTATTATAACAAAGTGGAAGCAACTGGGAACAACAGCAACTCAGGCCACATAAAATGACAGAGCAGAAGCACACAGTGCACAGAAGTCGCCAACTGTCTGCAGAGTCAATAGCTAAAGACCTTCAAACTTCATGTGGCCTTCAGATTAGCACAACAACAGTGCGTAGAGAGCTTCATGGAATGGGTTTACATGGCCGAGCAGCTGTATCCAAGCCTTACATCACCAAGTGCAATGCAAAGTGTTGGATGCAGTGGTGTAAAGCACACCACCTGTCAGGAATGGACTAGCCAGCAATGGTGGGACTCACCTGCCTTTTGATCTGCAGTACCAGGGCTGGCCAGCGGATGCTCCCAGCAATCAGAGACTCAACTTTGCAGCCAGCTAACACCTGGAACTGATTATGCTGGGGTATTTAAGGGATGGCCAGACTTGCAGACTCTGCCTTGGTATTGTGTTTCTCTTGGGCCCTGTATCCTGTTCCTGCTCTCTGTTCCTGTCTGATTCTCTGCTACCTGTTCTGATCCCTGGCTTGTCTGACCATCCCTCTGCCTGACCCTCTGTACTACGCTGCCTCCTACCTGTTCTGATCCCTGGCTTGTGACCCTGACCATCCCTCTGCCTGACCCTCTGTACTACGCTGCTAGCTACCTGCTGAACCTGGCCTGTGACCCCGACCAATCTCCACTTGCTCCCCCTGTACCTACCTGCCCAATTGATATTGACCCGGCCTGCCTGACGACGCTTGCTTGTATGTACTGTTATCTGTGGGTGGTTGGTTTGGTTTGTTTGCACTGTATTATGTTTAGTATTGCACTGCGTTTATGTTTGTATTGTTAGTGTTAATAAATTATATTGTTTATCACATATCTGAAGTCTGCGTTTCCCTGCGTCAGTCACACACCTCTGGTCACACCTGGGAGCCCTGACATTACACCAAGGCCAATCCTGACCAGAAGTGGCTGCACAGGGAAGCCATCTTGGCTTGTTGCTGGGAAGGATGGATCTGGATGAGGTTGTGTATTTATATCTGCTAGTGTTTGATGACAGGGAGTATGCTTATCAAACTCTGAAGGAGTATCCCAGGGATCAACTACTAGAATGTATACGGCTCGCTCATGTTCTAGTAGATCAGGGCACAGAGTTCTCTGAGGTGCAGCCATTGATTGAGGTTTGTGCTGAGTTGGTTTCATCTGGTTCCCCCGAATGCAGGGATGAATTTTTGCCACCATTTAGTGCAGACCAGGTAGAGTCCCTGGTGTGGTTATTAGAGGATGATGTGGGTTACTTTCTGGAGCGTTATTCCACATGTTCACCACAGACACTAAGAGATTGTATAAACGCAGTGCAGTCATTGACCAGACAGGCTTTGTGTAAGCTCAGCTTTGTTCAACCCATACTGCAGACATGGACAGACTTGTTGCACCCAGCCTCAGTCAGCTTACAAAGACCCAGTCCTGCTTCTAACTCTACTCCTGTATTCCCACCAGCTCCTCCAGTTACAGCCCAGTATACTTGGCTATCTACCGCATGTCAGTACCCTGTTCCCACTCGCTGCACCTATCCTGCCTTTTAACCCTGTAAAAAGCCCTCTGTAGCAACTGCTCCCTCTCCTGTTCCATCCTCCAGTTTTTCTCTGTCTCCAGCTGCTCCATTCGTTTGCAGACCTGCATTTACTTGCAGTGCTCCAGTAGTTAAAACCAGAAAAAAGCGAAAATTCTTACCAACCAATACCATCCTGCCAGTATCCAAACCGTGAACCTGCCTTCCGTGACTCAGCCTGAAGCCTCTACTCAGCCTGAAGCCTCTACTCAGCCTGAAACCTCTACTCAGCCTGATGCCTCTACTCAGCCTGATGCCTCTACTCGGCCTGATGCCTCTACTCAGCCTGATGCCTCTACTCAGCCTGATGCTGCTACTCAGCATGATGAACTGATCCAGCCCGACGATCCTATTAGGCCAGTTGACTCGATGCCCGCTGTTGATCCAGATGATCCGGTACCTGATCCAGTGCCCGCTGTCGTGCCAATTGACTCAGAGCCCGCTGTCATACCTGGTGACTCGGTGCCCACTGCCTTGCCAGATGACGCGGTGCCCGCTGGCAAGCCAAATGACCTGATGCCTGGTGACCCATTGCCCGCTGTCATACCTGGTGACCCGATGCCCGCTGTCGAGCCAGACAATCCGATACCTGATGAACCGGTGCCCACTGTCGTGCCTGTTGACTCGGAGCCCACTGTCTTGCCAGACGACTCGGTGCCCGCAGTCTTGCCAGACGACTCGGTGCCCGCAGTCTTGCCAGACGACTCGGTGCCCGCAGTCTTGCCAGACGACTCGGTGCCCGCAGTCTTGCCAGACGACTCGGTGCCCGCAGTCTTGCCAGACGACTCGATGCCCGCTGTTCCGCCAGTTGACTCGGTGCCCGCAGTCTTGCCAGACGACTCGGTGCCCGCAGTCTTGCCAGACGACTCGGTGCCCACTGTCGTGCCTGGTGACTCGGTGCCCGCCGCTTCGTCTGGGGGCCCGAGACCTGTCGCTCCACCTGGGGGTCCGGCGCCCGCCGCTCCGCCTGAGGGCCCGAGACCTGTCGCTCCGCCTGGGGGCCCGAGACCTGTCGCTCCACCTGGGGGTCCGGCGCCGCCGCTCCGCCTGAGGGCCCGAGACCTGTCGCTCCGCCTGGGGGTCCGGCGCCCGCCGCTCCGCCTGAGGGCCCGAGACCTGTCGCTCCACCTGGGGGCCCAATGCCTGTCGCCCCTCCTGGGGGCCCGATGCCTGTCGCCCCGCCTGGGGGCCCGATGCCTGTCGCCCCGCCTGGGGGCCCGGTGCCTGTCGCCCCGCCTGGGGGCCCGGTGCCTGTCGCCCCGCCTGGGGGCCCGGTGCCTGTCGCCCCGCCTGGGGGCCCGCTGCCTGCTGCTCCGCCCGGGGGCCCGCTGCCTGCTGCTCCGCCCGGGGCCCGGTGCCTGCTGCCCCGCCCGGGGGCCCGGTGCCTGCTGCCCCGCCCGGGGCCCGGTGCCTGCTGCTCCGCCTGGTGGCCCGCTGTCTGCTGCTTCGCCTGGTAATCCGATGTGCCTCTGCCCGGAGTCCTGATGCCTCTACTCAGCCTGATGCCTCTACTCAGCCTGATGCCTCTACTCAGCCTGATGCCTCTACTCAGCCTGATGCCGCTACTCAGCATGATGAACTGATCCAGCCCGACGATCCTATTAGGCCAGTTGACTCGATGCCCGCTGTTGATCCAGATGATCCGGTACCTGATCCAGTGCCCGCTGTCGTGCCAATTGACTCAGAGCCCGCTGTCATACCTGGTGACTCGGTGCCCACTGCCTTGCCAGATGACGCGGTGCCCGCTGGCAAGCCAAATGACCTGATGCCTGGTGACCCAGTGCCCGCTGTCATACCTGGTGACCCGATGCCCGCTGTCGAGCCAGACAATCCGATACCTGATGAACCGGTGCCCACTGTCGTGCCTGTTGACTCGGAGCCCACTGTCTTGCCAGACGACTCGGTGCCCGCAGTCTTGCCAGACGACTCGGTGCCCGCAGTCTTGCCAGACGACTCGATGCCCGCTGTTCCGCCAGACGACTCGGTGCCCGCAGTCTTGCCAGACGACTCGGTGCCCGCAGTCTTGCCAGACGACTCGGTGCCCGCAGTCTTGCCAGACGACTCGGTGCCCGCAGTCTTGCCAGACGACTCGATGCCCGCTGTTCCGCCAGACGACTCGGTGCCCGCAGTCTTGCCAGACGACTCGGTGCCCGCAGTCTTGCCAGACGACTCGGTGCCCGCAGTCTTGCCAGACGACTCGGTGCCCGCAGTCTTGCCAGACGACTCGATGCCCGCTGTTCCGCCAGTTGACTCGGTGCCCGCAGTCTTGCCAGACGACTCGGTGCCCGCAGTCTTGCCAGACGACTCGGTGCCCGCAGTCTTGCCAGACAACTCGATGCCCGCTGTTCCGCCAGACGACTCGGTGCCCGCAGTCTTGCCAGACGACTCGGTGCCCGCAGTCTTGCCAGATGACTCGGTGCCCGCAGTCTTGCCAGACGACTCGGTGCCCGCAGTCTTGCCAGACGACTCGGTGCCCGCAGTCTTGCCAGACGACTCGGTGCCCGCAGTCTTGCCAGACGACTCGGTGCCCGCAGTCTTGCCAGACGACTCGATGCCCGCTGTTCCGCCAGTTGACTTGGTGCCCGCAGTCTTGCCAGACGACTCGGTGCCCGCAGTCTTGCCAGACGACTCGGTGCCCGCAGTCTTGCCAGGCGACTCGGTGCCCGCAGTCTTGCCAGGCGACTCAGTGCCCGCAGTTCCGCCAGTTGACTCGATGCCCGCAGTCCCGCCAGTTGACTCGATGCCCGCTGTTCCGCCAGTTGACTCGATGCCCGCTGTTCCGCCAGTTGACTCGGTGCCCGCAGTCTTGCCAGACGACTCGGTGCCCGCAGTCTTGCCAGACGACTCGGTGCCCGCAGTCTTGCCAGACGACTCGGTGCCCACTGTCGTGCCTGGTGACTCGGTGCCCGCCGCTTCGTCTGGGGGCCCGAGACCTGTCGCTCCACCTGGGGGTCCGGCGCCCGCCGCTCCGCCTGAGGGCCCGAGACCTGTCGCTCTGCCTGGGGGCCCGAGACCTGTCGCTCCACCTGGGGGTCCGGCGCCGCCGCTCCGCCTGAGGGCCCGAGACCTGTCGCTCCGCCTGGGGGTCCGGCGCCCGCCGCTCCGCCTGAGGGCCCGAGACCTGTCGCTCCGCCTGAGGGCCCGAGACCTGTCGCCCCTCCTGGGGGCCCGATGCCTGTCGCCCCGCCTGGGGGCCCGATGCCTGTCGCCCCGCCTGGGGGCCCGGTGCCTGTCGCCCCGCCTGGGGGCCCGCTGCCTGCTGCTCCGCCCGGGGGCCCGCTGCCTGCTGCTCCGCCCCGGGGGCCCGGTGCCTGCTGCCCCGCCCGGGGGCCCGGTGCCTGCTGCTCCGCCTGGTGGCCCGCTGCCTGCTGCTTCGCCTGGTAATCCGATGTGCCTCTGCCCGGAGTCCTGCCCGATGTGCCTCTGCCCGGAAGTCCTGCCCGATGTGCCTCTGCCCGGAGTCCTGCCCGATGTGCCTCTGCCCGGAGTCCTGTCCGATGTGCCTCTGCCCGGAGTCCAGCCCGATGTGCCTCTGCCCGGAGTCCAGCCCGATGTGCCTCTGCCCGGAGTCCAGCCCGATGTGCCTCTGCCCGGAGTCCAGCCCGATGTGCCTCTGCCCGGAGTCCAGCCCGATGTGCCTCTGCCCGGAGTCCAGCCCGATGTGCCTCTGCCCGGAGTCCTGCCCGATGTGCCTCTGCCCGGAGTCCTGCCCGATGTGCCTCTGCCCGGAGTCCTGCCCGATGTGCCTCTGCCCGGAGTCCTGCCCGATGTGCCTCTGCCCGGAGTCCTGCCCGATGGGCCGCTGCCCGGAGTCCTGCCCGGTGTGCCAGTCTTTGATATCCCGCCAGTTACCAGACCCGGGCGGTGGAACATTTTTGCCCAGCTAGGACTGTTTGGAGCGTCCTGAGGCCGCTCCTTGAGGGGGGGGTACTGTCAGGAATGGACTAGCCAGCAATGGTGGGACTCACCTGCCTTTTGATCTGCAGTACCAGGGCTGGCCAGCGGATGCTCCCAGCAATCAGAGACTCAACTTTGCAGCCAGCTAACACCTGGAACTGATTATGCTGGGGTATTTAAGGGATGGCCAGACTTGCAGACTCTGCCTTGGTATTGTGTTTCTCTTGGGCCCTGTATCCTGTTCCTGCTCTTTGTTCCTGTCTGATTCTCTGCTACTTGTTCTGATCCCTGGCTTGTCTGACCATCCCTCTGCCTGACCCTCTGTACTACGCTGCCTGCTACCTGTTCTGATCCCTGGCTTGTGACTCTGACCATCCCTCTGCCTGACCCTCTGTAATACGCTGCTAGCTACCTGCTGAACCTGGCCTGTGACCCCGACCAATCTCCGCTTGCTCCCCCTGTACCTACTTGCCCAATTGATATTGACCCGGTGACGACGCTTGCTTGTATGTACTGTTATCTGTGGGTGGTTGGTTTGGTTTGTTTGCACTGTATTATGTTTAGTATTTGCACTGCGTTTATGTTTGTATTGTTAGTGTTAATAAATTATATTGTTTATCACATATCTGAAGTCTGCGTTTCCCTGCGTCAGTCACACACCTCTGGTCACACCTGGGAGCCCTGACACCACCACTGGACTCTAGAGTAGTGGAGACGTGTTCTCTGGAGTGACAAATCATGCTTCTCTGTCTGGCAATCTGATGAACAAGAGAAAGAAAATGTTACAGAGGAGGGAGCTCCAGCACACAGCCTGTGATTAGCAGGCTCAGCTCTGTTCCTGTGTGCTCTGTGAAGGGTGCATGTCCCTTCCCTCCAAGAAGCTCTCAGAGCTCTCCTTATTGAGTTCTGCAGTGTGCAATTTCATCTTTCAGCCCCCTGTTTTCTGATAGCTCAGACAAGCTTTATAAATTCTGGACTTTGAACAGATGTTGAGAAGACTGCAAATAAACAGGTACAACTCATAAAGGAAAATTTGTTTTATCTTTGTGTATCACCTGTGGCAAGTTACTTCACTATGTTTACTGCATGAGAAGGGTTGAATAGTCTTGAATATAAGCCCAAGCAGAAGCAGGTCAATGAGTTCCCTATTTCCATGAAATCTAGTTCTAAAGAAAAAAAGGGTTGCAGAGTAGAGAATCCTGTGAAAAGAGCCAAAACCTTCTCAGAAGTAACATGAAAAGCTACTGAATCTGATCAGAATAGTTAAAACTTGGGTTACAGCCAGGGGCCGACTGACAACGCATGGGGCCCCCGGGCAATAGGGGATCATGGGGTCCCTGTGTCATTGCCAAAACTCAAAAAAGCTATGAAAAAGGTACCAGGGGCATCTCATGGGACCCCCTACTGACCCTGGGCCCTCAGGCAGGCAGTGCCCGAGTGTCCAAATGGTCAGTCCGCCCCTGATTAAAGGTAATGTGGAGGTTAATTAAGCAGACTTTTTGACACTAGCACAGTCACCATGTTTCCTGTGAAGCAATAATAGTTCGCTGACTGATTTCATTTTTCTGCCTGAATTTGTTGCTAAACAACTAAAAATATACAGTATATTGCATACAATATATGCACACACACATACAGTATATATACATATATATATATATATATATTTACAAGACTGTAAAATACTTTCATAGTATTTGCCAATGGAATGAAAAAGCTATATACTGTTCAGAAAGAGGTGTAGAAAAAGAACAATTTCATTTGCATTCCTGTGACATGGCATCTCATTCTCACTCCCATAGCTAGCTAATTTGGTCTGCAGCCAACTTTCTTATAATATGATGACAAGACAACAAGCTTCACTGCCTTCTTTTTATTGCTAACGATGCAATGAGTGGCAGTTGTGGTCTCTGAGCCCAGCGTGGCACCTCACCCTGCGGAGATTTTCTATGTCTGCGCTGTCTCAATCCTCAGCTCCCTGCTAGGCCTGCTACAGCAAGGACAAACTCGAAATACAGGGACAAAACAAAAGTTTATCAAGAGGGAGGCAATTCGAACATGGCATGTTTGAGCAACAATATGTCTCATGCATAATAGCCTCTGTTAGTAATTGGATGCCCCTACAAAACCTTTGTCCCTCCTTTGAAGAAGACAAAAAGGAGCACTGTCAATCACAGTGGAATCCTTGGAACTCCTATTGCAGTCATCTTCATTTGCATACAGATGTTGTAAGAGATTTTTAAAGCTTTCACTCAAGCCCCATTGTTTAAAGCCATTCCTGCTTGCTTGGTTCACAAAGAGTACAGTGTGAGCTCGAATGTGTTATCATGCTGTATAACATTAGACTCAATTAAATATTTGTAAACTGTTTAATTGTCTGTTAATGTTGTGTTAATAAAGGATGCTGGGATGGGATGCGCCAAGAGAATATAATGCCATAGAGATTTGAAAACAGTGATAGAAACATGGTAAGGCAAGCATGAAGGACAAGAAAATCATATTTCTCAGAGGAAACCTGATAAGATTAAAATAATGGACACATGTAAATCCATTCAGATTTGCCACAAACCACTGTACTTGGTGGTAACCTGGGAGAAACACAACAGTTCCAATATGCTTGCATGTGATTATACTCTGGCTCAGCTGTTCGCACGCCGGTTCTGATAGTGGAGGACCTCTCACCTGGCTGTAGATATTTTCCCTAGCTATCTCTGCCTCATTAGATGTGGCCTCTCTGCTAGGGAAGGGAGGCTGAGGAACTTACCTTTCCTGGTCATGGACAGGAACCCAAAGAGTTATGAGAAAAAAAGAGGTAAAGTGGCCTGCACCGGCATCTGAGCATGGTGAGTGAATTGACACTCTGCTAAACTTTTATGATCAAACTACCCTCCTACTATTCAAAGACAACACTTTTGAGAGTATATCCATGTCTTGCCTGCGTTTTGGACAATTTCCTTCTATAGGCTCCATTTACACTAGTGCGATTTCAGATGCAACTTAAGTTGCATGACAATGGAAATCACGTTGTTTTCAATGGTGTCCATTCAACTCAATGGAACACGGTTCAATTTTGGAAAAGGTTCCTGTACTACTTTGGTGTGATTCTAGCCCCATAGAATATGTAAACCCCTTTAAAGTGGCATTCAAGTTGCACTATATATTTTTTTAATTCTTGTATTAATAATTTAGTAAAATCAACATAACATATTTGCTAAACAAGCATAAGTCATAAAGGTATAATTTTCACACCAAACCAAAAAAAAAAATCCAAATTAAAAAAAAAAAACATATTTCACATAATTTTACATAAACCGCTCCCACCAACCTTCCATACTTCATGATAGACCCTAACCTTCCTCCCCATACAAAAACATTCCCAACAAGGTTACAGTTCTTCCCACAGCCACCTTTATTTGCATATGTATGTGAACATTAAATTACCTACAACACACTCTTTCCCTTCACCCTATCCCTACAATAATATAATTCAATCCTTTTGCTATACCTTCATGCTTTCCCTTCACCAGTCCATTCCACTCATTCTAGGATAAAAAGGAGACATATATTAGAACAATATACCAAGAAGAACAATTATTATTAAAAAGACAATGCAACATTAAATGATTAAAACCTGGCTCTTATCAAACAAACTAAAAAAGACCACTGTTTCCATTTACCAAATTTCCAAATAGCACAGGCTTTTTCCTGCCCAAGCTTTTTACAGTCCCAATATCCTTAGAAGAATAAAATGTACAGGAGATGGTCAGAGACTGCGGACAAAGTACAGCAGACGGTCAGAGACTGCAGACATACTACAGGAGATGGTCAGAGACTGGAGACATACCACAGGAGATGGTCAGAGACTGCGGACATACTACAGGAGATGGTCACTGCGGACATACTACAGGAGATGGTCATAGACTGCGGACATACTACAGGAGATTGTCAGACTGCGGACATAGTACAGGAGACGGTCAAAGACTGCAGACATAGTACAGGAGATGATCAGAGACTGCAGGCATAGTACAGGAGAAGGTCAGAGACTGCAGACATACTGCAGGAGAAGGTCAGAGACTGCGGGCATATGACAGGAGATGGTCAGATCATGGACATAGTACAGAAGAAAGTCAGAGACTGTGGACATAGTACAGGAGACGGTCAGAGACTGCGGACATTGTACAGGAGACTGCCAGAGACTGCAGGCATAAGATGGTCAGAGACTGAGATGGTCAGAGACTGCGGACATACCACAGGAGATGGTCACACTGCCTACATAGTACAGGAGATAGTCAGATTGTGGACATAGTACAGGAGACGATCAGAGACTGCGGACATACTACAGGAGAAGGTCAGAGATTGCAGATATAGTACAAGAGATGGTCAGAGACTGCGGACATAGTACAGAAGACGGTCAGAGACTGCGGACTTAGTGCATGAGATGGCCAGACTGCGGACATAGTACAGAAGA